GTTCTGAAATTAAAACATTTGATTACACAAAGACTATAACATTAAGACAACATTAACCAGAACATAATTTCCTGCAGTCAAACTCAAAACAGACACAAACACTACATAAACCATGCTATAATTTCCTGTCTTCAGACTCAAAATAAGACCACCAGTACATAAACCCTATGACTACGACACTACTTCTTGCATTCAGACACCACATTCAGAGGCAACTTCAACCATGCTTTAAGTAAAGAATTTCAAAAAGACCCCAACTAAAGAGAATGATTAAGTTCTACATCCTAGCTTGCATTGTAGCTTGTTGAAGAGATTCTTGGAGCTTGTTCATAGACCTGATTAACCCAGGTATCACTTCCACCGATCTAGGGCACATGGGTTCATCAAACCACCCAATCCAACCACACCTTCTCTCATTACGAAGACAAGACCAATATCGCCTTCCAAGGTTGCGATCTGACCAGGAAGTGACGATGGCTAGATCACGATTTCCATAAGCACATATCGGCATTTTCCACAGCTTTCTTTCTCTAACAGTAGTAGTGATCGATTGAATTGGGAGGAAGAACAAGAAGAAGTAATATAGACGTTAATTTATATGTTCAGAAAAGGTCCTTTAGGCTAAAATGACATAAATATCCTCATGTTCAAGTCACATGGGGGCAACTTAACGTTAGAATGGACGGACATCCAACTCGGGGACCAAATGCGTGCAACTTATGGTCCGTAGGTACTATTTGAGGGAAAAAAGAACCGTAGGGGCTACATTAGGGAAAACCCAAAACCTAAAGGACCATTTGCGTAATTTGTTCTCAAAATTATAACGAGAAACAGGAATATTAAGAGATTTAAGAATAGAATGTACCATGTCAATTACCTTTTCGCACTCAGAGACATGTTCTTTGACCGTCTTCGCTGAAAAACAAGCATCAGAAACTGTTCCTTCATCTATAAAATAACCTTGACTTTCAGAACTGACGATATTCACCATCAAACACCTACCTCCGATATTCTTCTTCTCGGTCTTCACCATCAAACATTCAATGTGAGTTAGTCTTCAAACTTCGTCATCTTCTGAGTCAGTTGACCATACTTCCACGTTTCCATCATCACTATTGTCTTCAATCACCACAAGAGCTGGTTTGCTAGAATTCTTGCGAAGTTCCTCAATTTTCTTCACATAATAGGCTTCATCTTTGTCCTTTTCTTTCTTCTCATTCTGTTTTTGCAAAAAGCATTCTTTTGCAAAATGATTCTTTCCATGACAATAATTGCAGTCAAAGCCTGAATCACCTAGTAACTTTTTCTCCTTCTTTTCGTCGCCCCTTTGAAAATTCTTAAAACTTTCACTTCTTGATTTTTTAGAGTTTGAACTTCCTTACTTATAATTATTTCCAGCTGATTCGTTTTTTTTTTTTTGTTATTTTTGAAAAGTGAGAAGTTATTTTTGAAGAATCTCTTTTGATTAGTTACCATTAGAACTTTATCTTCTTTTATAAGCTCCTCATCTCAGATATCAGATTCAAAATCTTCAACCACAATCTTTGTCTTTTTTTTTTAGCTTTCACTTTTCGTAACAAGTGCTAATGAACCAACACTCGTCACCAACTTTGCTTCCTTCATCACTTCATTTTCATGAGACTTTAGTATACCAACCGTTTGTGCAAGAGAGCAATTCTTGAATTGTTTGTGAGCTTTAACAATAGACACAATTGACTTCCATTCTGATCTCAAACTATCCGTGAACCTGACCTTTTGTTCAATGACTTCTCTTTTCAAATTGTGTTGTAGCATACGACTTAAAAGATGATTAAATCAATTAACTGTTTGTTCAATGGTTTCATCGGACTTTTGCTCAAAAGATCCAAATTCAGACAGAAGTGATGTTTGTAGAGAATGAGTGAGATCAACATCTCTAGAATATAACTCTTTCAATTTATCACATATCTCTTTTGCAGTCTGATAAGAACTGACCAAACGAAAAGCGTCAGGAGGAAGAGCAAAACTTATGATTCTTAATGCTTTCAGGTTACACATCAATTTGTCTTTCTCAACAGAATCAATTTCAGTGTCATCAGCAACAATGGTGTCATAATCGTCTTGAGTTCTGACTTCAACCTTCGTCTTGGAATACTTGAATGATTCTTTTGTGATTGCGTGCCAAATGCTAGATCCATGAGTTTCAATACCTAGAACATAATCTTCAAAGTGAAGAACCCATACTTCATAGTATTTAGAGAATAGAATAGGAATTCTCGATGTAGAACCAATATTACTTGGTAGAATGAACATAATTGAGTGTGAATCCTCTTTTGACATTTTGAATGAAATGAAACAAGAATCAGATCAATGAACTTGAAATAGAGTTTTAGAATCATATCAAAAGATTCAAACAAGGAATTAAAGATCAAATTGCAAAGAGATTTGCAAAATACGAAATAGATCTAGAATTCGATGAACAAATCTGGAAAAACACGATGAACAACGACAAAATCGAGATTTGAAAAAAGTTCAGATGATCTCCCGCTCTGATACCAATTGATGAAACGATTGGATTCATGATTCAAACGATTAAGAGATTCACAAGGACGCACAAGGTAAATAAGATTTCACTTTCATTAATGAGTCAGTAGAACAATTCGATACAAGAAAGAACTATTTTATCAAAAACTCTGACCCATTTCATTAACTAACGTTCCTTTATATAGGCTTCACGGGAACATTAGAAAGGAATACATAATGTGTGAATTTGGAACTAAATCAATTCACAGTAAGAAAAGACATAAATAATACAAAACATGCGAACAAAGCGCGTTACAAATTGACACAACTAATATATTCCAAACTCTAACAAGAGGTTTGCATATTTGGTTCGCAGACTGCAGACTTTTTTCTTTATAAAAGACAAACAACACCTAAAACTTATAAGGTTGATTGCAAGGTAGATAGTTGCTTTATTCTAATCAAGGTCGGCCATTGGTCCGACAAAAAGAGAACTAAGAATCGAACATATATAACATGGTTAAGGTTGCCAATGTAGCTCTCAAACTATGAAAGTATATATTCTTTGATTAATTCACAATGTATAAGAACCCTCTATATATTTGAACAAGACAAGGGTAAGAGTTGTTTGATACATCTAAATGAACACTGAACAAATCAAAATTGTTGGAATTGTCTTTGAAAGGTTAATCAATCTTACATTCTCTTAACCATTAATAGGTTGAAACCATTCAATTTAGAATTCAACGCAATACTAAACAGCTACTAAGTATATAAAGCTAATCACAATCCTATAACGATATTGTAAGGTTTTGAAATCACGATATGAGATTTGAAGGGATCGGCTATTAGAGGGAACACTTCATTAAAATATGGCATTTTCAGGGAAAGAGAACTTTGTCGAGAAAAACATGATCCAATGTTATATAAAGAGCTTGCCCCGTTTTTTTTCTTTGCTAGTTTGCGAATAAGAAGTTCGTGAAGCGGTAACGTTAAAGCTTTTGATGATTTAACTTAAAGTATTCATGAATCATAAGTGAAATCATTTTGTGCCATGAACAATTAACTTGCCAATTCGTGAAGCTTTTTTCGTTAGTCTAATAAATATTTTAGGAAAATCTCAGATAAACTCAATATTTTGGATCAGTTTACGGTTTAATCCTAACGTTTATTTTTTGAACAAAAAAGTCTCAATTATTTTATATTTTGCTCAGATTAACGAAACAATCCTTATTTTTTTCAACATGAAATAATAGATTATCGTATAAAATTAGATAATTGGGACTTTTCTGTTCAAAAAACAAATGTTTAGATTAAACTATAAACTGACACAAAATATTAGGACTTTATGGAGATTTCAAAATATTTTATGATAAGGTTGTAAAACATTGTTATCTTCCATGTTTGATTATATTAGGCTGGTGGGTGTGAGAAGAAGAATGGCTCGGCAAGAGTGAGGTGGAGGGTGACCTGGAGCTCGGCAACTCGAGGAACACCGCTCCTCACCTCCGCATGCCGAGGTTTTCTGTGGAACTCGGTGACTCGTCACCGAGTCTCTCTCTTTGGCAACTGAAGAAGATGACATGGAAGGGGGTGGTGGTCTCGGCAGTCTCGGCTTCTAGCCCAACGGTATCAGGTGGTGCCCTCTCTCCTTAAGGTTGAGGGTTCAAGTCCCGTGGTGGACACAAGTGGAATTGGGTGTTAGTTTAGGAGTAGATTATAATATTTGTATTTGCCGGTTCAAAAAAAATAAATAATAATAATAATAATAATAACAATAATAACTAGAAAAGATTCCCCGGCGTTGCCGGGGTCGGAAAGTATTGCTTTGTAAAGTAAAGTAGCATGTTGGTTGTTTTTTGTCCGTTAATCTGAGGGTAATTTGGTCTTTTCACGTAGTAGGGACTGAATTTGTCACCATGGGTAAACCATATGGACCATTTATGTAATTTTGGTGGTGGTGGTGGTGGTGATGGCAGCTGGTGGGTGAGTTTATGGTATTGGGTGGGTATTTTCTTGGCAGATGGTGGGTGGGTTTATGATATTGGGTGAGTATTTTCTAATAAATAAAACATTAAATTAAAACCAAAAAGAGAATGTTAAATCTGGTAAACCACAGGGACCAATCGTGTAATTTTGTCTAACAATAATAATAATAATAATGAGGGACCATTTCTGCCAAAAGACTAAATACTAATAATATATAATAAAAGGCGAGGGTTATGAAAAATTCAAACCAAAGTGAAAGGGTTGTTTGTGAACAAAAGCATAAAGATAAAGGGAATGTTGTAAGTTGGAGGACCAAAATTGAAAAAAAAAAAAAATTACTTTTAAAACTTTTCATAACTTTAATATATATAATAATAATAATAGATCTATTAAGTTAGTTTCGAATTTAATGCAAATGAAGACACCTACTTATCACAATTATAATATGCCCCATGACTTGACATGTCTTTAATTTATGGAGGTGTCATTTGCTTTCATACCTCGCTCGTCTTCTACCGGCTTCCGCCATTATTAAATTCAGCTTTCACTCTGTTTCATTTTCATCACATTTTAAAAATCCCTGAGAGTCCATGATTCTGTCATCCATTACTGTTCTCACTGCTTGACGTTTAATGCACCTCTGTTTCGGCCACTATTTGTTGAATTACAACTTCTATTGCATCGTAATTCCTCAGAGATTTGGTTCCCGATTTCCAACAATACGGTGACCAGAAGAGTTAAGAGTCATGTCGGAGAACGGAGACGGGCTGGATTACCTCCGAATTCCGTTCGAGAAGATCAAGTTTGGTAAGAAGCTCGAGGGTCACGGCTATGGAAGTGTGTTCGAAGGAGAATTTGGAGATCGACGAGTAGCGTTGAAGCAGTTGAACATCACGAACCTCGGTAACGTTAAACCGAAGCTATTAGGTGAGATTTTAACGATTTCTCAATTCCGGAAACATCCAAATCTCGTTGCTCTTCTCGGTTTCTGTGACGAAAGGAGCAATGAGATAATTCTCGTTTACGAGTATGTCGCAAATGGAAATCTAGCTGATACGATGAGAAAACGTCTGAATACGATCCAGCGCTTCGAGATCTGTCTCGGTGCTGCTCGTGGACTGGATTATTTGCATACCGGCGTAAACTCCACCACACCTGGAATCGTTCATGGTCATGTTAAGCTTTCGAAAATCCTGTTGAATTCTGATTCAAATTCATCAAAATTTGAAGCAAAGGTTTCGAGTTTTGGATTATCCAAAATCGTGCCTGGAAAAGCTCAGAAGGATCCGGAGGATGAAGTCAACGAGAAGCCGACGAAGGAATCTGACGTCTACTCTTTCGGCGTGCTGTTGCTTGAAGTGCTGTGTGGTGTATCGGAATTGGTGGATACCGATGATTATCAGGAACGCCATGTCTCCGAATTGGTCCCGAAGAGACTTGAACAAGATAAATTACGCAAAATCGTGCACTTCGATATCAGAAGAGAAATCAAAACGGAGGCATTGGAAACTTACGCGAAAATCGCGTGCCAGTGTGTATTGGAAAACCCTGAAACACGTCCTACCATGACTCGGGTTGTCGAAGAACTCGAAAAAGCATTGAGATTACAGGTAAATTCTGTACAATTGTCGACCCAATTTGACTGTTTGTCGACGTAATTTTAGTATTTACTTTTGAGCTTTTGATGCAGGGAGGAGAGGTCACCTATGTTCAAATTCTTGGTAGCGAAAACATCAACGACCTAGCAGATGAAACAGTCGTAGATGATGGTCAGAAAGAAGATGGCGATGATGAGAAGGTGGATTCAAAAACACTTGACGAAGAACCCCAGGAGGCGGAGATTGTGGCGGTTGTAGGAGATGCTAAGGAGGTGATCCCCGATGTCGCCGGAGAAGATAAAGCGGATGAGATTAGCAAAGTTGACAAATCTTCAGAATCTACCAATGAGAAGAATTCAGACGACGATATTACTGTGGTGAGTTGTTTTTCTTTTAACCTTTTTTTTTTTTTTTAATTCTAACATATAATAATGTTAATATAATTAAAGGTTAATACTACAATAATTATTGTAAAAATCATAATCAATAAATACCACGTTATATACATTATCACACATTAATTATTTACCATAACAAATACAAAGAGTTACCCGTTATATACATCATCACATATTAATTATTTATCATAATAAACATTTTTTTTAAATATTGTTGATGCATATACACATGTGCTAATTTCTTTCACATCTATATTTTTTTTCATTCACATATATATTTTATATATTTTTCTAGAAGTATTTTTCAGTATTTAACTTTTTTGCTTTTTGTACGTAATAAACTAAAATCCATTTATATATTATGGGCCATACCGTTACAAATCAAATAAAACATTTCATTATATACCTAAACTGCAAGTCGTCGGAACAATCTTTTGGACCAGGCATGACGAATTAATATTTTGTAATCAATATTAAAAGTTACCAAAACTTTGCCATTTAAAACAAATATTATAATTATAATATGATACTTTAAAAATGGAAATTGTAGCATATAACCTTCTTGTGAAAGAGTGGTCCATGTCACACCACATATTTTTACCTAAAACTAGTATGAAACGTGTTTTTTTTAATTTTTTTATTTGATAATTTTTAAGTTCATTTATTTATTATTATTGTCTTTTTTTATTATTTATTTATCTAAAATTTTATTTTGGTACGGTTTTCTTTAGCATTGCAGTTTAAAATATTATTATATTAGTAAAACACTTTTCCATAATTTATAACAAAAGTCTTGGTTATAAACCATTGATACACAACTACTATTACATTCACATTCACATGACTTACACAAAGCAAATGTTAGGGCACAAAAAGAATTACCTTAAATTATTTTGATGTATAAATGATAATAATCAAATCTATAAATTATTCGATTTTAATAAATCATTAAATTATTGACTGTGTTTAGAAATGAAGTTTGTTATGATGTGTCAAAATTGTATTGGTGATTTTTTTTTTCTGAAACAATGGTTTGATGCAGCAAGAGCGGAGCTTCGATGCTTCACTTCTAAATGGCGTCAATGGTGAGAGTTTAACCGACAATACTCATATCGAAGACGCTGAAAAGGAGAGTAGCAACACTGTGATAACGAACACCAATGATGGAGAAACCACAGAAGAAATTACCGACGATTTAAGCTCCAAAGAGGAATCAAACATCACTGAAGACGATAACCAAAACTTAGTCCAAATTGGAGACGATCAAGAGGAGATTACCAACACTGCGATTGCGAGCATCAATATGCCAGAAACCGCAGAAGAAATCACAGACGATTTAAACTCCAAAGAGATATCGAACATCACCACAGAAATCGAAGATGATTAACCAAAGCAAAACTCAAATTGATAATGCTCCAGAAACCACAGAAGAAATCACAAACGATTCCAAGTCTGAAGAGGAATCGAACTCTGGAATTCCGGAATCAGACAATAGGTCAGGGAACGAGGTTGGAGACGGGCTGGATGATTTTCGAATTCCCTTCCAGAAGATCAAATTTGGAAAGAGAATCGACATTGATGGTTACGGAAGCATGTTCGAAGGAGAATATGACAATCAACAAGTCGCATTAAAACAATTAAACATCACAAACCTCGGCAACATTAAACCCAAGCTTCTATCAGAAATTCTAAACATAGCTCGCTTCCAAAACCACCCAAATCTCGTCGCGCTTATCGGCTTTTGCGACGAAAAAAACAACGAAATTACAATCGTTTACGAATACATCTCCGGTGGGAATCTAGCGGATAATTTAAGTAAACATCTCACTACGATCCAGCGACTCGAGATCTGCCTCGGTGCTGCTCGCGGAGTCGACTATTTGCACAGCGGTCTAAACCCTACGCCTGGTATAATCCACGGTGACATCAAACTTTCGAAAATTTTGTTGAAATTGGATTCAATTTCATCAAAATTCGTAGCTAAAGTTTCAAGTTTTGGGTTGTCGAAACTACTGCCTGGAAAATCTCAGAGGATTCTGGATCCTGAAGGTAAGACGAAGGAATCTGACGTGTATTCATTCGGTGTTATATTGCTTGAAGTTTTATGCGGGGTGCCGGAGTTAGTGGATACCGATGATTATCAAGAACGACATGTTACTCAATTGGTTCCCAAGAGGCTCGAACAAAATATGTTACGCAAGATTGTGCATTTCGATATTAGGAATGAAATAAAAGCAGAAGCATTGGAAACTTATGCCAAAATTGCATGCCACTGCGTAGTAGAAAACCCTGAAGAACGACCAACCATGGCTCATGTTGTTGAAGAACTTGAAAAAGCGTTAATATTACAGGTAAATTTCACGCTAAACAAAATATTAAACGATTTGTTTGATAATTTATGTGTATAGATGGTGTTCATAATTTGAGCTTTGAAGCAGGGTGGGGGAGTAACCGACATTGAAGTTCTTGGTAGCAGCAATGGCAATGGTCTACATGACGAAAATGTTGATGAAGATGACAATGGTGAGACGATGGACTTGAATACAGGGGTGGAAGAATCCACGGTGATTGAAGAGAGTGTTGATGACGACGCTATGGTGAGTTCATCTTAAATTACAATATTTAATAATTAAAACATTTTTCTTTATATATTATGGATGCTCTTGGTCTCACTCTAATCCATGTCAAAACACAAACGCAATACAACACTTTTTGTTCAATAAGCAGATGATTTAGAAACATGGATTAATGCAGGAAGTGGAGAGTTTTCCTGTTGATGATATACCCGAGATAACGCATGTTGAAGATGCTAAAAATGAGAGTGATGGACTCTTGGTTGATTCTGAGAGCATAGAAGAAACCATAACTGATGTACAATCGAATGAGGAATCAAACATCATTTTGGAAAATGAACTCGAAAACAAAAGCGATATACCACTCATATCTTCAGAATCCAACAAAGGTGACATCGAGAAAGCCGAAAAAGAAAATGAAAACACACTTTCAACAAACACCATTGAACACGAAAGCAAAGAAGAAGTAATCATAGATGATAAGATCACACCCATGGAGATAGAAAATGAAAACACACTTCCAACAAACACCATTGAACACGAAACCAAAGAAGAAGAAATCATAGATGATAATATTACACCCATGGAGATTACCACGGTGAGTTCATCTTAGCATACCCTAATCATATAACAAAAACAAATTTATTAAAAACATTTTGGCAAACTTAACTGGACGCAGGAAGTGCATAACTCAGAAGAAAATGATAATATCAAAATTAAGTTACATGGCACCAAGAAGGAACCCGAGCCTATCATCGCCACAAGAGAAATAAATTTCAATGATTTTGACACCAACTTAATACCCAGCACAAAACCCCAAGAATCTGAAACCAAGAGAAGCAGCAGTAGTAGTAGTAGTACAAGCTCCGAGTCTAGCAATGGCGAAGGCAACGCTCCCTCGGATTCTTTACTGCAAAAAGGTTCCCCCAACGGTAACACCACGGTAAGAAAATCTTTTAACCGCTCTTTTCCAACTCTCTGTCCTTCCAAGACAGACAGTCTGTAGTTAAGCGTGCTTAGGCAAAAATAGTATCAGGTTGAATGACCCTTTACAAGTCCTCATGTGTTTGGTTTTTTCTTTTACTTCTGATACAGAAGAAAACGTCATATGGCTCAAGAAACTGTTGTTCCTGCTCATGGTGGAACCTCATCTCCAACAGGTTCACTCTCGTCCTCGTTCTCGTTGTGTGCTTACTTATGACTCGAGCTGCTTCAGGACTGAGAATTGTGTGAACAAATTCTCGATTTCTGATTTCTACTTTATAGTCTTACTATGTTACAGAGTTGCTTCGTGCGGAGGTCAATTTTGGAATAAATCAAAATCATGTTGTGCGTGTATTGGAGGGCAATTTTCTAGCAAACATGACTAAGGTATATGGTTATCAGTTATCACATCTACAGCTTCATCTTCGTATAAATTTTGTGTCATGCTGTTTAGCTAATACATTATTTATTTTACAGAACATTGTGCTCCTTGTATCTTCTGTACAAGATGGATCATTGTTGTTTTTACTGTTCTCTTATATGTTTTGAAATTGAGAGAGAAATATACCTATGATTGTTTTATCATTTGTACACTATTGATTGGTGTGTGTACAGTTTAAGTTGTTCTGAACATGAGAGAGTAATATATCCACGGATCTTTTATTATTTGTACACATTGACGAAAAGGGTATTGTTGTCATTTACCAGATGTCAAAGTCTCACGGTCCATGGGCGAAAGCCATGACCTAAAGTTGTTAGCAATGGACATTAAGTTCATGTAAATTACCATTTTACCTATATCTCCTTCGTCACCCTCTTCAATAAACCAAAAAATAAACCACTCTACGAAAACAATATTAACACTTGTTTAATAGCAGAAACAAACACACTTTTTACTTTCAGCCATGTTTGTATAATCTACACAAAACTACTTAACAACCAACGATATAAACAAACAAACTAGAATGTAAATTTCACGACACACAAAACAAATTCAAAACACACACACAAACTCAAACACACTGTATACAATTACATTTCCGAAACATTATTTACCTCGGTTGATTTTTCATGATCCAAGTCTTGCTGATGATTTTCTTCTACAGGCTGCACCACTTTTTGTTTCCTTTTCTCCTTAAGAACAACTTGTCTAGGCATAACTTCTAATAAAAACGAACCTCCGTTCCATACTGTCGCCGAAACTTTAAGCATTTGAAAAGCAAGATGCAATTCATATGACAAAAAGATAGGCACAGTAAGAGCCATCGTTGCCACCGTAAAAAGCGCTTGCAGTAAAATATACATAAACATACGGTTTTGGTCCCCAAGCAAACCACTTAACCTCCACCACAAGTTGTTCGCTTTCTGTGCCTTTTTCGAAAGCTCCCTATAATAATCATACCAGATACCAAATCAAAATCAGGCATCTTAAATATAACAATATCGTAAGATATATGTGGAGTCCAAGAATGTCTCTCCAAAAGAGCCCCTTACGGAGAAACTCCAACATATAGTCACTTATACAACCGTGTTGCACTGATGTGGCTTGTTGCACTGTTAGTGATAACAAAATAAGAGAATGTTGTGTACTTTACTGACCTGTAAGAGGTCATGACTTCAGGGTCCCTTAACAACCTCTGACGACGAAGGACATTGACTATCAGAAAGTACAACGCCTGCCAGAGACTGTAGGCAATTAAGGGGACAGTAAACAGCCATGTCCACAGGAATGATTTGTTTCCCACATAAGGCCATGAAGCTCTCATTGCAGTTCCTTCAGGATGCATAGCTTCAAAAAAAGCCGGGTCCCACCATCGTATAGTAAAAAACACCACCCCTGTAAAAAAAATATGGGTAATAAATTAATGACTTTCATCATGGTGTTTTAAGTTGATCCAGAATTTATTAGGACAGTATGTAATAAGTAACAACTCACCTGGTAAAAGATGTATAAGGACGCTTACGAGTTTGTCCACAGAACTAAACACTAAGCTACAACGCCAAACGATCAATGCCCATGCTAGTGGGCCCTACAAAAATAGGGATTATTAAGATGATAATGATGAATGGGATTATTATTGAAAAGAAAATGAAAATAAAAGGAATATAATATAGTTACCTCCGCAAACGAGAAGCAAACCATGAAAAGTTTTTCATTTTTGGGATAAAATAAAAGCATGATCAAGAATATGGTGTTGGCATAATAGCAGAAATCCTGCATATTGTCAAGGGTTTAAGTCTTGTGTGAGAATTTCAATTCCAATGCCAGCCACTTACGGCCTGATTTACATAATATGGGGCAGCGTGGTTCCAAGGATGTTGGAAAAATAAATAATGGGAAATTAAAGATTTAGTATGAATGTACTTTGGTTGTTGGAATTTACCAGAAGGTAATAATGCCATTTTTTATATCGATAGTAAATCCATCGAAGTGGAACAAAGGTGACATAGATCAAACAGTAGACGTATCGGATATCTTGTGGCCCTAAAACAAACAAAACATCAATGGATTTAACGACAAATCATCATCAATATTACATTTTAATTTCCAAAAACTAAATTAAAAGCACATCCATGGCATGTTACTCACTTGCACCCAAAATAAAGCAAAATCCCCCGAAGCCAAAGACACCCATAAAATGAGTAACCTACAATAAACACATCCAAGATTAATGTTAACCCCATGCTAATATGAAAAAGTAAAAACCCTAAAATTAGTCAAACTTTCAGTTGTGATGTGAGTTATGAAGCTTCAAAATGCATATATTCGTATAAATTTTTTGTAACGAATTGAACAAAGTATGTTTCGTGTTTGTGTTACTTACAAGTTACAAGAGAGCTTATGTAGCTTATTACTCACAGTTTGATTAAACTTTAATGATGTATATTAGTTTTGAACTTGATAATCAACCAATTTACATCATAAAGCAATTCTATCGACTAACTCTTTAATAGAATCAATGTATCTATCTATCAATCCATACAACATAATATATATTTACCTTAGTGATAAAACTTTCATGTTCTTCAGCCTGTTGAGCGATCTTAACAGCTTGTTTTGACAAGATCTCCTTCGTTTTTTCTTTCGTTTGAGCAACTTTCTAAAACAAACCAACAAATTCCCAATTCAAAACTTCGAAATACTGTGTAAACAATCAACAAAAACAAACAAAATGGAACTCGAAATCATACCCTGGATCGATCTTTTAACCTCTGCTTCACTCCTTGAAACCGATGCCCATTCGATTGATAATCATCCGCCTCTTCAGTGCTCGACATGTTTTCTTTCTTTCTTTGTTTGTTTTGAAGTCTTATTATAATGATTGTACTCTTTTAAATCCTTTTCAGCTTTTGATTGAGAAGTGTCTGGAGAGATCGAATAATAATAGATAAAAGAAATGGGCGGTGGGGTTGGGATTTGAGAAGAACGAAGGCGGTGGTGACGCTTGCTTTGAATAAAAGGTATGCTTCTCACTAGGTTATTGATTACAATAAGACTTCAATTTTTCCGATTGTCTGCTAATCGATTGTGTGATAAAAGGGGTTTGAGAATTACAGAAATGGGTATCGTTTTGATTGAAGAGGTTTATGTCTTTTTGTAGTTTGCTTAATTTGAAACTGTGGACACGTAAAGACCTTCTCATCACAGAATTTTGCTTGCTCAACTTATCCTACCTTAATTTTTAATTTAAATAATGTAGACTTTTCTATGAGAGGATGTGTTTTTTTCATTTTAAATACACATTTTATTATTTAAATACAAAAGTTAGAATATATTGTTATCTTATGACAAAAAAATGTTTGCCACAATTTATAAAGCTACTATTTTGTGTTCAAATATGTATATAAATTAGAAAAATGTCTTAGAGAACAATTTTTTTGTATGGTATAACACCATTCAATTTCTTTTCTTTTTATTATTTAATATAACATTTAACTTGTTAAAGTGATAAAAAAAACAATATTTATATTGGGATTAATAGGTTGGTACTTATTTGATACTTTTTTAATTTGTTTTTTTTTAATATGTGTTGATGTGGTAATTAGGTTACACATGTCTTAAAATCTTCTTATCTTCTTATTATAATAAAACAATAGTTTTTAGGGACACATGTCCAAAAAATAGTCATCTTCTAATTTCAATTCTCGTTCAACCTATCGTCTACCTCTATGTCTCCAAAATTATTTTCGTTTATTTTGATAGTGTGTGTTCCTTAAAACCAACAATAATCTCTAATATATCATCAAAAATCATAATAAATCAATATACAAATCATATACAAACTTGAATTTGGTTGACTAGGACTTCATCTACTTCATATATACCTTAAACGTAAAAAGCAATAGATCATCTCCACACCACCTTTCTCTTGACTCTTCTCCACGATTCATAGTAGGCGACCCCACCATCATCGGTCATCGGATTCGAACCTTCGAAACGCAGACCATATCATGTTGTAGTTATAATTTCAATCTTGATTCCATTTTTCTAACATAAAAATAAACGCATAATCTTATCTTGCTTCAAGGTTTGCATGTTTTATTATTGGAGAAATTTGAGCATCTTGGGTTCCTCAATCCTCATGTACTTTGGTGAAAAAGGATTTGAGAGACTTCCCTTGAACCAAAACACACCTTTTTTTTGGCAAATTCATATCTCGATATCCCAGCTACTCTTATTTCTGAATCTCGATTTCATGATTGGATTTTACGCCAATATATATGGATGCTCTGATTAATATGTAAAACAAGCATCTGAATTCAATTTGTGTATTCTCCAAATATATTTAGTATTATATTTTCCATGTATATTCAACTTACTTGTGTATCAAATTCTCAATGTATGTTCAACTTGTGTATTCTCTATGTATATTCAACTTAAGTGTTCAATTCATATTCAACTTGTATATCAGTTCATATTTAATTTTATGTATCAAACTCAATTATTCATAATTATATTTTTACCGGCTTATATTCAACTTGGTGTTCAGGTTGACTTCAATATATGTTACGAAAAAATCAAGAAGAATGGTAATAGTAAAAAAATATGATAAGTTAGGAGACAGAAATTCTTGATGATGATTAATATAAATCTATAAAAAAAAATGTTGAACATAAATTAATATAAAATTATGATATTTTTTCTTCGAAATGTTGAATACAAATTACTAATTGAATATATTAGTTTTCGTTAAATTGTTCATATAAAATTTAATGGATGAATTATAAATTTGTTTAATTATAAACCTCATGAATATATTCAAAATAATGAAATCAGAATAAGAAATTCGTTTCCATAGTTATAGGGATATCATTAATGTAGGTAACTACTTAGATTAACTAAAAAAACTTATGGTTCATTTTAAAATGATTGGCATAACTAATTATCCATTTCACACTATAAATATTTATTGTAACGACTTTTTCTCATCTAATTATATAGGGATTATCAGAGTTTACTAACAAATGCAGAATTCTTTTAACTCAAAATCATTTTACATCCTAAGCTAATATCGGGTTTACAATAAAATAATAAACATAAATTAAGGCAACAAGGTATACTAAAAATAAAACTACTTCTAGTCTAAGTCCTTCTGGTATCTTCTCACATACAACGGCTGCTGCTACCTGAACCTGTAAAACATGGAAAATATTTAAAACATTAGATCACAGGTCTAGTG